ATTGGACGAATTTATCGACCACAGCGATAGGCTGAGCGTTTCACCGCTCGCTTTTACAAGAGCGATTTATTTGTTTATTTATAAGTTAGTTTCAACCAACAAAGTCATGTTTGAGTCTTTGCTGGCACAGTACGTCTGCACGAGCGGCACACCTCTTTGGTTATATCCTCAGGTTTACCTCTTTCACCTGGTTTAAAGCCAAAGAAATCCCAAATTGGTGACTTTTGTCACTACCTGATCCGTACCGGAAACCTGATCGGTACCCCGCATGCGCGAAAGGTGTCTACTTCCGGTCGTAGCATTTTACGATAGTTATGGGTCAGAGTATCTGTTAAAATGTTAAGAATAATAAGTATATCTTAAAATGTTTGCATTAATGAAGCATTTCAATATAATAAAGACAAAAAGTCGGACCGTACAAATCGGGTCTACCCGATCCGTACCGCGCATGTGCAGATGTTTTCTTCTTCTTCTGTTTCGTTTAATGGCAGTTTACTCCCCAGTGTATGAGGATACTGCCACCTGCTGACCGAGCAAATGAACCCTATTATAAACTGAATTGGCGTCATTACAAATGCGTGTTAAATGTGATTTAGTGATAGTCGAGTGTGTTTATGCTCGTCTGTGTGGAGAGGATTGATTACTATAGTGATGATGATGTCCGCTATCACTGTTAATTGTTAGTAAACACTTCATCTGGCTGATGAATCTTCACGTGACACATTATAAAGTCAGTATTATTAAGTCTGTAATTAGGCGCCATTGTTATTCTTTTACGGCGCTGTTGTTCAATCGGGGGACGCTCTCTGTTGAGGAGAAAAGCATGAATTTGTTTGTATACGGATTATCCATTGTTTAAATGTCCCGGGCAGTCGAAAAGGAGGCAGAGCTGTTGAGAAATGCTAGGAGCTAACTGAGCGCTAACCATCATTCAAATATATTGAATGTCGCAATGTTGGCAAAGAGAGGAAGTGACGTAAGATTTGCGCATACGGGGTACCGATCGGGTTTCCGGTACGGATCAGGTAGCAACAACTTTGTATTTTACTTTTTGGCAACTAGTTCCTCCATGTTTGGACTTTTTGTGTTCTAAACACGTAAATTGGTCCGTGCATGATTACATTGCTCCGCCCATCAAAAAGTCACCTGCCCGAATATATCGGCCATCGTCATTTATTGGACTGATGAATGTCGGTTAGAAAAATGTGACGAATCGCCCAAAGTGGTGAA